ATATCTTTTTATATCTTTCTCTCTTCTCATTTAAAGAGCCCCAAAAGCTGGAACATTCACCTTTGAGTCCAGACCTGATCCGCTACCCCTGCAACAGTTTTAGCAAACCCCTGCAGGAAATAAAGATGAATCGCAGGGCCGCATTTGGGACAACCACTCTAGTGCTAACCAGCCTCAGTGCAAAACCTGACTCTCCTTCAAGTCCTGCCATTAGCCAGGCACACACACCAGAGACAATGAGAGGTCTGAGCACGCACGGCAACTGGCAGCGGAAGAGTCCCAGTAATGGCGTGAGTGGGATGCAATTCAAAGGCAATGAGCCCTATAAGAGAGAATCTCCAACAGACCACAGTCAGCCTAACAAGAGAATGAAAACCACGAATGGAACGTTTTCTGGAGGAAACATAAAGCACATCTCCTCAAGGTAAGCAAGTGTGGTTAGTTTCGGCAGTGATGAGATGTATAAATGAAATACTGCTATTTTATAAGTTAATGTTACCAAAAAAATACTAATTAATTTTATATGATGAAATAATATTATAATTATAATATGAACTTTTTTTATGTGGATGTTTTTTTTAAGCCTGTAAGATTTTAAGTTATTAATCTGTGTCCTGTCACATTTGCCATTAAAATCATGGTGTGTGTGAGTCATTGTTGCAGAAAGGCTTCAATTAACTCAACAACAAATACATTAAATAATCATTGGGAAAGTTCTTACTGTAGTATTTCACTCAAACGTTATGTGAGATCTGCTTCCTTCATGTCTGTCACTGAGGTGTTTATCTGACGCAGCCGAGGTGGAGATTGAGGCATACTCTAACAGGCACATAGGAACGGTGGGCAGGGAGAACTAGCATTAAAGGCATAGGCAACAAAAACAGCTAAAATGTGTTCAAAGTAGAAACTTTTAAAATTCTAAAAGCTATAAATAAATAATCTGAAGGTTGTTTTGAGCTGAAACTTTACAGACACATCCTGGAGACACAAAAGACATCTTAAACCTTGAAAAAGGGATAAAATAGTTGCTCTTTAAACCATTTGAGCACAAGAAATGTAAAGTTTGCCACTTTAACGAAGATTAATTGTTTGTTTATTTATTTATTACAATGAAGATTACACAGTGTTATTGTACATCTGATTGCAGTTCTATACTTAAATGCAGTTATCTCCACCACAAACCATAAAGCGTTGGTTTTTTATTTTTTATTTTTCATCTTCGCTTTAATTTGTTTAGTATAATCTATGCAGTTGCAGTTAATATAACCCCCAAATATACAAATGAATCTTCTATGAGGAGATGTTATATACTTTACATATAAATATGTATATACTTGATTTTATACTAACACATTTATAATTGACCTAAAAATGAAAACTATTATTTACCACCTTAATTTCACCTTTATTCTCTTAATCGTGATGTTGTTTTGGACCCCACTTTGTACTGACAAAACCGTTCTTCAAATTATCATCATGTGTATTTGAAGCAAAACAAATTACAGGTTGAAAATCCTGTAATTCATAAAAAAATTAAAGACTGTCTGGCTGAACAATTACTTGCAGTGGTTTGTAAAATAAAAAGCTGGTTTTGTCTAACTGATATTTTGCTACAACTTGGCAGGGGCACGCAACAAAGTAATGATGCTTCCCTTCCCACAACCCCCTGCTGCAAAAGCCATCACCGACCATGCACCCAGAGAGTGGTCACTAAGGAAGGAGAAAACAAAGGCAGACAGTTTTACACCTGCTCCCTGCCCCGAGAAACTCAATGTAACTTCTTTGAGGTAAGAAACCTTTTTTTGCATTAAAAGCTTTATAAAGGTATATTTAAGTATTTTATGTGTTTTTACGACTATTTAATTTAGATTTTTAGGGCAACAGTATCTCCACATCACAAGCCATTGGTCAGGCTACGATTTAGAAAACATCTGAAAAAAAAATCACTTATCAAGCTACTTCCAAGCATGCTATAGAGTTATATATAGAGTTATTGTATAGAGTATTTTTTACCCTAATATTTTAAAATAGAACATATTTTAGAGCAGCAATCATCAATCATGAACCTATCATACTGTGAATTTTTTTTATTATTGTATTTTTTTTCGGGGTTTTCACCTTTAGTAGATTGGATAGTAGAGAGTATTAACAGGAAAGCATGGGGAGCAGAGAGAGAGGAAGGGTTGTGATAGGATCAATCTTGGATCGCCACGAGCACTAACCACTACACCACTGGCGCCAACATCCGTGATATTTTCATCCAAGGTTATCATACCATCAGAAATCTTACATGTGATGACCTTTAATTTGGCCCACAATGCCTTTGACAGAGATTGACATTTCTTATTTAACGAAACCTTGTTTTGTTATTGTTGACTAAAGAAAAAGCTTACTAAAATGACATGTTTTATTATTAGAATGTTTTTACAATGTAAATAAGGTCACCTGATGGGTAGAGGAAATTGCATAAGACATCAGCAAGAAAATCAAGGCAGCTTGACGTGTATTTAACATTGAACTCCATTGCGTTATAAATGGGGCCGTTTACAGTATGTTTACTGTAAAAAGTTCATTATGAAACTTTATCATTTTTACTGCATTAATACTATTTCAAGTAATATTCAAATTATTTTTAAATATTAGGAAATTACCCACCGCAAATTTAATGAAATACAAGCTGTGTCCCAAATGGCACACATGCACTTACACACTCAAAAGCATAGTATATGTGTAGTGTTGTTCCTAATGAAACACTAATGTTTTTTTTTGTTTTACAAAGTGAAAATTCAAACCATTTCCCAGACAACGTTTGACGGTTGCCAAATTGGTGAAATAAATGACCAAACTACCCAATAATACCTGCCATGAGTATAACCGCATTCACCATCAGGTGGTGGGATAATCACTCCTAGAAGAATTTTGCTTTCACAATCCAAAATAAATTTTGCTTCACTACAAGAGCAAAGCAGCAGCTGTTGAGTGTGTGAAGTGTTCAACATTCCACACTTAATTTTACCATTTGAATAAGTGCATCATTTGGGTATTTAAAGGGCCATGAAACCCCCTCGTTTCAGCAGGGTGTTTTCACACCTCTACTTTGAAAAAAGTCAGAAAAGTGGGCGTGTCCAGCTCTGTTTAGGGGGGAGTGTCGGAGGAACTAAAGTGGGAGGGTGTGGGAGTGTCTATTTGGGCACGCGCCAGTTTCAGTCAAAATACAGAGGAGAAAGGGATGGTGTTTAACCTACATGGACATCTGTAGTCGGATTATTTGCCAAATTATTAAATGGTGGACTTTAACTGCAGTTTGGCTCTTTCATTCAGGGAATTCATTCATGCCCCTCGCGACAAATGAGATATTTGATTCGAGGATCTGCTCTAAGCGTGTATTTTTCATGCAATGTTTGATAGCGCACGGCGAATGACAGAAAAAAAACTCCGCATTTCCCGGAAACTTAGATGCACACGGCAGGTAGCGTCCGAAAGCCGCGTGTGTTATTCCGGTCACAAAACGCGGTGCTAACATGTTTGCACTCAATGCAATAGTTAACTTAATTCGATACGAACAAACTGAATATACAAAGAGCACTGGTCGCTCACTTACCAAATCTGTAGAGACAGGACAATCACCAGCAACTAGAGCTGCGTCTTTATGAAGAGAAGACTACATCCGGAATCCGGATTTCAGCGTTTGCAGATGAGAACAGCTCTCAGGTAAACAATAATCCCCCTTAGACGCGTAAATTATTGTTGTCGAGCGTCGCGTACACTGTCACACGTGAATCCAGCTGAGCTCTCACAAAGAGAAAATGAAAACGAAACTTAATGGCAGCAAACTGTAAAAGCAACACTTCACGCTTGTTTTGCCAACACAACGTGGCGTCTCTGTGGTGTAAAGACGGTGACACTAATGAATATTAATGAAGTTGCACAATAGAGCGCGCTGATTGGTTTGAACCAAGCCTTACTCATGCATTAATGCAACACACTGTAAGACGTAATAAGACTCACTCTGGCACAGACGCCCAGTCTGCACGCTGGAATACAACGCTATTATGTCATGACCGTGACGCAGCTTCAAAAATTCGTTTCAAACAGGAAGTACGAATTTGCTTGAAATAACGCAAAAACAACCAATTTACATTTTTTAGTGAAATATATGTGTCCTAATAGTGTTTTAGCAGTGTGGGACACATATACGACTGTCAACAGCTCAAAAAATGTGTTTTGGTGTTTCGTGACCCTTTAAAGTCCACTTATTATTTTCAGTGAATACACACTATTTATACAACTAGTGTAATATAGTGCATAAGTATGCAATTTGGGACGCACCTACAGTTTGCTATATTTAACTTTGGCCCAAAACCATCTATCAAGTTTAGTTGTTGGCCCTTCGTAATAAAAAGTTTAGCCACCCTTGAGTTTAACACTTGTGTAAATTTAATATAAAAAGATGAAGTATTGGGTATTGTATTTCCTATTTCCTTTAACATTCGGAAACATCTTGAACTTCTGATAAACATGCTTATTGTAGGGTAAGTTTATTACAGGTTAGTCAAACATTCTAACTGTACAGTCAGTTTTATGAATTGTTCTTGCAACTGTTTTCAAATCAACTCGATAACTAATTTGTGGTTTGCAATTGCTTCAATTGTGATTCTTGCAACAGTGGGCAGACCTGCATTTCCCCATGTGTCATCATGGCAAACGGACCGTTATGAAAACCGTTCTGAAACTGGGACCCAATAATGGCCGCAACTTCTACACATGCCCAGTTAAAATGGGCAAGCAGTGTAACTTCTTTCAGTGGGCTGAAAATGGCCCTGGCATCTCAATTCTGCCTGGCTGCTGAGTCCACAGCGTGAGTTGGACATGACATCTTTTCAAATGCATTAAAAAGCTTTTGAAGCTATGTTTGCTTTTTATGTTGAGATGATGAAAACATAAGTGTGTGTTTTGTCATAGTAAATCTGTAATAAAAGATTCTTTTAAAAAACAAATCATTGGCAATTTATTATGGTGTATTTGGAAACATGTAGCAGTTCAAATACAGTATAAAACATCCAAGAGCTTAATCTGATTCGCAGATCTTTCAGAAGATTTTAAAACATTTTAGGAATGTATTTTAAAAAGTGCAAAGTCACTTTGGATCAAAAGGCATATACACTTCAATGATACATGAATCAAATTTACAAGACATAGTATACAAGTATACAACAAAATGATTTCAATTAAAAGCAGTTCACTGTATGCAACTCGGGCTGGTTTGTCAGTGGGTTGACCACCATGAAGGGAAACTGGCTGAACCCGGGACGCTTGTTACAAGCAGCACCTTTTGACAAAAAAAAAAAAAAAAGCATTTCGTAAATTATATAACTTCATATGCTAAGTCTGAGTAAGAAAAATAATCAAGCTTTAGCATTTACCATAATCACCAGCTGTATTAGCACAAATAACTGCTCCAAAAAAATCAGGGTAATACTTCTTGATTCTGTTAATGGCTGTCCGACAGGCAACAGTGGGTTGTGCTCCATTTCTCATCAGCTCAACAGCTAGAAAACTTGAAACAAAATAATGAATAAAAGTATTTAATATAATAATACACTTCTATTTTATTATTTTTTTAATTCAGGCAGGTGTTATTCTAAAGCCACATGCCTTTTGATTTATTTCAGGATTTCCACTGTAAGCCAAATGTCAAATGACATTCCTGAAATTCAATTACCCATTGGAATCCTATTATTTGGACCACAAACGGAGACTTATTTCTTAAACTGATAACAAATTTATATAATCTGATAACTGGAGTTCTGTTCTAGAGATAATTAACTTGATGGATAAACTTATTTACTCATTAATTTTCCTTCGGCTTAGTTCCTTATTTATCAGGGGTCGCCACAACGGTACGAACCGCCAACTATTCCAGCATATTTTATTTTTTATGCAATTGATGCCCTTCCAGCCACAACCTAGTACTGGGAAACTTGATGGAGAAACTACACAGGTAATATATTTCTTGTCATGCTTTCGATTAATCCTGATAAAGCTTTTTCTGGGTGGGTGGGAGTGAACTAACCAAGCGGCAACCTCCTGCTCTCTCTCTTGAAGCTAATATGAAAGAAACTGAAACTGCAATTCTTCGAAATTCCACCAGGGCTGGCTTCATAAGGCACATTTCTATTGAGCCCACTGTTAAAATGGCCATTATTAGAAAAAAAAGGTGTTTACAGCCTGGTACAAAGAACGATTTTGACTCGTATAGCTAATATTACCCTTCATGACAACTGTGAGGGGGCTGATTTATTTTTTTTTTATAACTCATCCATTTTGTTTATATTAAGTTATATTAAGTCTGCATAAATTAGGACGTGGCACTTGAGTGACAGCTAGGTCTTGCTGGTCGCTGTCAGCTCCGCTCAAGCTTCGTCTGCCCTTGTTTGGGTACCCCTGGTTGGAGAGATGACCCAACTTGCCCACTTGTAGCTTCATTTGATCTCTTAAGAAACCTATGGGCGACCACGGATACTGCATCCTTATCTTTTGCAGTCTAAGGAACTAACACACTAAATAGTTTCATGAACACACAACCATACAGTATAAAGCCCTATAAAAGAACAACAATATTAGAGAATTTTGTAAAACCACCTCAACCCTTGTGGTCCAAATAGAAACTGCAGCATCAACAGGCTGCAGTAAACAATAGCTATTTGACATGAGCTAAATCTTTAATTCATCAAGGCAGCTCATAAAGGTTTTTGTCTGCAGACAGACACTAATAAAATGACATCTCAAGAATAATAATTACCTTGGAAGGAAACGCATCATGATGTCTCCGTCTCCTGTGGCAGCCGCTCCACCGACTGTGCTGTCAGCATAAGCCCCGGCTCCAGCCACTGGTGAATCACCTACACGGCTACACATCAGCATGTATACACTTTAGTAAAGCTCTACTGACAAGGGACTGGAAAGCCATTTCTGCTAGTACTGAACAACAGCAAAGCTAAATCTCAGCTGAAGAGATTGTTTTTTCTTCCAGTTTTAAACACTCATGCATTCTGGCTTCAACAGGACACCCGAGACAAACTTTAGTAACCGGTTTGTTGTGCTCACCCTGGTATCTTATGTGTTGCTCCATTGGTGGATGTTGCAGCAGCTACCTGTCCTTGCCTTCCGATCACAACCATACCTAATCAAAATAAATAGTTAGAATGTTAAACTAGGATCATATGTGTCAATGAATTGAATCAAAGCAGCGGTTTGCAAGTATGTCCTCAAGGCATGAAGCCCATTTATCGTGCTTTCTTCTCATTATGCAAATTCAAACTAATGAGCTTGGTACTCTGTGGACAAGTCCATGTCTGCTTGCAGAAAAATACATTTGCACCAACAGATTTCTTTGTCTTAAGACTGATCGTTTTTGTCTTACCAGATAACTATTATTTCAACAGTATTTCAAGCCTTTATGTAACCCCTAATGTTCTACTCTCTTGGCTCTAAGCCGGATTCATATCAGCGCTTCAAAAAATGGGAGATGCATGTATTAGCATGGACAGTAAAAACAGCAGCTGTTGGCATCAATTCCAAGTAGTTTTCTCACTTCTAATAACTGACCTAAACTCTCGCCTCAACCTCACTTCCAACTGGGTCTTAGCAAAGACTATAGAATACACAAGATGTGTCACTCATATAGTTTTGAATAGGGAAAAGTGTAATGGTCAATATGACGAATGAAGCGCCACCACCTAGTACAGGAGCCAATCATAGATCGATATAGACTGATGATTCTCTGGGGGAGGGGCTCAGACCAGACATGACTTACTTTCTGCAGATTTTGTGTTTCGAACGTTTAGAAATGAAAGACAGTATTTGTTTAATTTTATTGGTGATTTATGATATGAATTTTATTTTAAGCTTGGCAAGCAATTTTAGAGAATTTGATGTTTCCCCATTCAAACCGAATGTCCAAGCATGCTGCCTGAGAGCCATTTCAAAGATGACCATCGAGTGAAATTACTTGCCATGAAAGGCACTTTGATCTTAGCACTACAAAGGACTTTTTGCACTATATGTTTTCATTGGCTGTGTCTGAGATCACATGCCTCTCTACTTAAATATTGGTAACAAATGTATGTCTGAAATAAAAGTACTCGTAATAGAGAAGATAAAAGTAACCAGATGATCTACTTCTTCCAGAGGGATTCTAAAATGTGCATGTGGTGGATACTTTACTTTTGTATGAGGCCCAAGAACAACACATGAGGTCCATGTACATTTCTGAATGGCTATGAAGTAATACCAATAGGTTATGTGAGAGTAAAATCATAGTAAATGTAGTATGCCCAGAATAAGACTGAGATTTCAAAAGCAGCCTTAAGGCTGAGTCACACTGTGCAAATTTTAAATTTAAATTTTATTTTTATATGATTGTAGCATGTCAAACTGCAAAAACATGGCACCCATGTCACACTGTAAGATCTCAGCTGTCATAAAGTCAGACTAAAAGACTATGAGCCAAACAGAGTTTGACATCATCCACCCCTAACACTTTCACTATCCTATGTTCTGAAATGATTCCTCGCTGCAAATGTAAACTACGTAAACAATTGTGCACGCGGCATAATTCAATAATAAAACCAGCCAGGAAGGTTTTGACATTTCCCTGCGGTCATTTGACTTATATAAATTCCGAGCTCCTATTGGTTCTTGGATTGACACATCTGTTGTCACACTGCAGGAAAGTGTCTGATATCTTCTGACATTTCCAGAACTTCATAGGAGGAAAAATCTCATGTCAATGAACATGTCAAACGATCAAAGATCACAGATTTTAGCCTAGGATTTCAGGAATCTTTTAGGATTTTTCAGATTTGTCTCAGATGACAAAATCATGGCTGAAATCGCAGTGTGAGCAGGGCTTTAGGGTGCTTTGCACCACGACTTTTGGTCCGAACCCCGGGTTCATTTGACATCAGAGTTTGGTACATTTTAGCTAGTGTAATTGTCTTCTGAACTCGATTGGACACCCACAAACCGTACCCGAGTCTGCTTAAAAGAGATGGTCTGGGGTACAGTTCTTGCAAACTCTGGTCTGGTTCACTTGTAAGAACGCAATCAAACAAAATGACAGAAGTGAATCGCCGTTTATTCATGTGTGTTTGTTTATCACCTAACGTTACTTTGGTGATAGGCAAGACTGACCCAGTGATAACAGTGATGATGTCTGCTTGTCTTTTCCACAAACGACTTCTGCAGACATCGCGCTAGTCGCTCTCTGTACTGTATGTTACCAAAGCCAAAAGATTCAGTAAAGGTACAGAATGACCGCAATGTGCATACGTCTTTTCATTTTGGCATTGTGGCTATACACAACAGCAGCTGAAGACGCAAGGAAAAAAGATGGTGTGGACAAACCAATCGAGAAGGTTGCAAGGGGGGACAATTGAACCAAGTGTGAAAGCACCCTTAGTTCCTGTGACCATTTCCAGACGTACCCACTTTTTAGCATGTGTGCCTAACCCAGTCTAACCCAGCAAAATAGGCACTATACCAGTAACAAAGATTATAGGTGCCTGGCCACAGATATTCTATACAAAACACAAGTACCAACTACTTTAAAAGCAATTTGATCAAGAAAAACATGATAGGTCTAAGTATTCCACTAAATCTAGATAACGACACTGTTAATAGCAGTACTCTGATGACACTCATGTCACTTCAGAGTTTGTATTATCAGGACAACTGCCCTAGGGGAAAATTAGCAGCTTTTGAACTGGAGGAACTTTTGATAGTTCTAACATCTACTGATGTAAGTATCCATATTTAATGTGTTCACCCCTCTGAAACTGCAAAAGATTTTAGTTCTAGGAGCATTTTTGATATTGTTGAATACAGTGTTTGATGTTGCTGTTAGATATCTTAAGTCACTTTAAAGTGCAGTAATGGTGAAATTAATAAGAGGCATATGGACAAAAAAATTCAGACAGTTTCTTTTTGCTTTCTGGTCTTTGTTACACTTGGAATAAATAAGGAATAACATTTACCAATTGTGTCATGAGATCTGGGGTCAAAATTTCCTCTCGGGTGCTTTGACATCCATTGCTTGGCTTTGGGCTTGTATGGCCCACATGATTTGGAAGGGTCTGGAGAAACATTCTAAAAAGAGAATATGAATACAGAACTGATTATTCTCTAAATTATCCTTTGATCTGAGACGAAGAGTAAGGCTAATTATTTATCTTTTAGAATTGGCTTTACATAGCAACGTTATTGACTTCATGTTGCTGCCTGTTATGTTTTATCCACCTTTTCTGATTTATTTTCGAAAATTTTAATAACTTAACTAACAACCATAACAGTTTAATCAGAGTATGAAAAAACAAAAAATATTAATAATGTATTCAGAGCATTGTTTCCACATATTTCCATAGGGCTTTGATTGTGCCAATAGCAGAATGTGGAATCAACCACTGTATTCTTCATAAATCTCACTATGCATTATTCATTGGTTGTTTCACGGTGAATATTTTCTAGTCTGAGAAAAAAAAAAAAAACTGACTGAAACTTTATTCGTATCTAACCACACAATCTTTCAAAGCTTTGGTACGTTTGAAGTATACTGATATGGTTTATCTGCCATAGATCATCTCCTAAACCCATGTTTGAAGTTGCCAAAGGTGTTTAAGAACTTTAAAGGTAAACCCTGGAGTGATGATTACACAGAAGTTGCTAGTTTTTTGGGGACTTACCTTTCTATAGTTGGGTTGACAATTCTGCTGCAGCCACTGAGAGAAAATAGCTATTGATTTGTTAGTTGACAAGTCCTCAGACGTGAAGCCCATGTTTTGAGCAAAGATTGTGGCTGCATGAAAAAACAGAAAGAGGGTTTTTTTTCTTTAGTTCCACTGTATTTCAAATGGCAAGGGAGTTTTGAACAAAATGAATCAGCTAGTAGAACCGATCTGAAATAAACATTAGATACAGGAAAGAGCAAAAATGGAGCAGAGGGAGGCTTACTCAGCCTTTTTTATTGTAATGTGGATGTTAAGCAGCCACGCATACAGCAAGAAAGCTGTTTAGTACTCAATAATTCCTTTTAATTAAGAGAGCAGATGGAATTAATAAAATGGCACAACACTATGGATGGAATTACAGAATGTAAAGTGCTTTATACTTTAAAATGAATCTGAGCAATGTCTACATACAGAACAGGTTGTGGAATATCATGGCATGTTAAATGATTAAAATTCAACGCATATGTATTTTTTCTTATCCAACTTACAGAAAATCAGGCATTTATGTTTGTTGCTTTAAGTTTAATTTCAATTTATTAAAATGTACATTTTCTACACCGTATTTAAATCACATTGCTTGATGTCTATTGTTATGATTAGACTATTTTTAGCTCCATTTTATGCCTTACAAGATCATTAACTGCAATTCCCTTAAGTCGAATAGACAGTCACTAGACTGTACCTCTTAATTAAGGCTAATATTTCCAGATAATATCAATTTTAGGAGCTTTAGCTCTGAAATTACCACTTTAAAGTCTGAGTGTTAGAAAGTAGATAACAGAAAAGCTAAATGTAGAGTATTAAAACAACTGTCTATACTAATAGCACTTCACAGCCACACAACCTCAATTTGTTTCCAAAATCGGTGTTAAATTATCCATTGTTGTTCTAATAGTAGATATTAAAGTTTTGCAAAATGACATTCAAGCTAAAAGCACAACAGCCACCTGTTTTTCTGTTAATTACAGGTAATGGATATTCAGCTATTTAGTCTGTGAAAAGTCAGGGTTAGCTAAGAGTGGGAACCCTGAACATATAATTTCGAGTTTAAAGCGACCTCTTTGAATAAACGTCCTTCCCAATTGATGTAAACACCAACAAGAGCTTTTGACCAGCTACTTGGTGATTATGGACATGGAGACACTTCTTACCCGACTCGCCCACTATGAAGGTGTGCTCTGAGTGTTCCATCACTGCTCGAGCGACACCCACAGCATTTTTGACCCTGCGCAGATCTGCCACTGCTCCTACTTCCATCGTATCTCTGAACATGGAACATACAGTATTCATCTTATTTTGCAGTGCAGAAGTAAGCATATTTTCCGCAATTGTGTTCAATTTTGATTCGTTTCCCATAGCTCGGAATAACCAATGGCAGTAAACGATCAAACTTCTTGCACTACAAATCTGTTTAGAACATTCATTTTCTTTTCGGCTAAGCCCCCTTATTAATCAGGGGTCTCCACAGCAGAATGAACCGCCAACTTATCCAGCATTTGTTTTATGCAGCAGATGCCCTTCCAGTTACAACCCAACACTGGGAATCACCCATACACTCTCATTTATATACATACACTACGGACAATTTAGTTTATTCAATTCATCTAAAGCGCAAGTCTTTGGACTGTGGGAGAAACCGGAGCACCCTGGAGAAAACTCACAACAACATGGGGAGAGCATGCAAACTCCACACAGAAATGCTAACTGACCCAGCTGGGACTTGAAACTGTGACTTTCTTGCTGTGAGGGTATCATGCTACCCACTGGGCTACCGTGAAACCGTCTGTTCATAACAATAAATAAAAGTGTTATTATTACGATAAAAATGACCAGATTGCAACATCAAATACACGTGCTGCTGAAGATTACAGACACAGATGAGAGGTTATATTTTGTGTTGTTTTGAACCTAAATAAGGACTAAATGTATGCTGTGTGTAGTTTTTCTGTAGTTGGTAACATATCGGAGACTGTAAGGGGCTGTATGTGTTCATATATGTTGCATTTAGTTATTTATTTAATATAATCACAGACGTTACAGTAGACTATTTCGCGCTGTCATTGATCTGCAAAAAGTTACCACTGTAAATAAGAATGTGTGAAGTGTCACGGTGGTGCAATGGGTAGCACGATCGCCTCACAGCAAGAAGGTCACTGGTTTGAGCCTCGACTGGGTCAGTTGGCACTACTGTGTGGAGTTTGCATGTTCTCCCCATGTTAGCCTGGGTTTCCTCTGGGTGCCTCCAATTTCCCCCACAGTCCAAGGACATGTGGTATAGGTGAATTTTGTAGGCTAAATTGTCCGTAGTGAATGTGTGTGATTGGGGAGTGTTTGGGTGATTCCCAGTGATGGGTTGCAGCTGGAAGGGCATCAGCTGCATAAAAAAATATGCTGGATAAGTTGGCAGTTCATTACCCTGTGGCTACCCCTGATGAATAAAATGATTTTAAATTAATGAATGAATAATACAAAGTTAATATATAATAATAGAGATATTTATTTTACTTGGATTTTTCTTGAATTCTTATTTTATTAATTTCCAATGTGAGTGCGCATACCTGGCAAGTCATACCTATTATACACTAATACAGTATGTGTATATTTATATAATATATCCTTACACTTAACATACACAGTTGCCTACCCATTCATAATCATCGCGTCCAGCGTCGTCTCTCCGCGCTCGTCCGGACTCCCGCCAAAGCCGACGCTCCCATCACACTGCACGAGCTCACAGTACGCACAGCCCCGCTCTACCGCGTCTAGAACCGAGCTACCCTTCTCCAACGCCTTCCAGGCTACAGAAACAAACAACAGACTGCGATTAAACCCAAAACTTCCCTCAGATATGAATCACGGAGGGTTACTGTCTGACCTGCGCCGGCTGCATCCTCAAAGCGCCATGTGTTTATCACCAATGGCAGCGAAGCTTGATTTAGAGGAAGAAAACAAACAATGATAAATAATCGCTGAATCATGATTCATTACTCAATCGACGGGTTCTAGGCTATATCTATTTAATGTATAAAAACATCCTGGTCACATGCTTTTTTCATGCACCTATTTACTTCCGTGTTTTGTCACGTGATAATGACGTTATTTAAAGGAACCGCGCAGGTAAAAATCGTCAAGCAAAACGAGGTAATGTTTCGAGATTCGTATGTCTTTGGTGTTTAGGTATATCAAAACTAAACCATTTAAACATTTTCTGATTTTCCACTAGATAGCAGTTGTGTGAAGAAGAACAAGATTGAAGGTAAAAAGACCAAGCCAAAAAGACCAAGAAGGTAAAGTGAAGGTAAATATTACCTGGAAAGATCTTTATTTAGCCTGTTTATTTTAGCGGGAGGGGTTTAAACAAACTGTAATTGTAATGTCAAAATATCAAAGCAAAAACTATTATTTTACTCGTAATTCGAACATACAGATTAGTTAACATTGAAACTAGCTCGGAAACAAACAACAACACATTAGGCTAAATAAATCGAATAGAAAAATAAAATCAAACAATTCTACACACCATATTACAGATTTGTACTCCGGTCAGGGCTACTAGGTAAATAATAATAATAAATTAAAAGAAAAGCACGCCAAAAGCCAAACATACTGTTGCCCTCATATCTGAACACCAGAATTCAACATTATCTAATGTCAATACCTAAATATGTATTACTTTTACATGTTCTAGACAGTTTCAACTTGAAAATCACTTGTAAGCAGTTTTTGTAATGGAGCTCTATGGCTCCTCCAAGGAGTGGAGCCTGTGGATGAATCAGCAACCAGCAGCCCAGTATGAAAACATTGGTATCACTAGTAATAATTGATGTAAACACATTATAAAAGTGTAAAACAGTGTTAACATTTCTGTTTTGCCAAAAAAACAATAAATTAGAAAGTGTTTTTAATTTATACAGTAAAGGTAGAATTGGAGGGATATTTTTTTCATGAAAAAGATTGAAACAACTGAAAACTGTTTATTTAATGATAGTTTATTAAATGACGTTTTATACTTGTTATATATACTTCTTATTTATACTTCTTACACACAAACACACACACACACACACACACACACACACACACACACACACACACACACACACACACACACACACACACACACAATGAAAATGTTCTGTGGATGCTAAAGTGTCTTCACAGAACCATCTATAGTGCCAACGATACATAAAGAACCTTTATTGTGACTTAAGGCTGATTTATACTTCTGTGTCAAGCACGTGAGTATAGTCCAGCGTAGCTTTGTGCGGTTGCATAGCCCTCGCTGTGGCTGACGCGTGACGACAATGCTGACGCTTTCGTGAACCTTTCAAAAAACATAACTACACGTTGCAATGATGTGTAGTGCAACCTTTGGAATGTGTTGGCTTGGTAGGAGTATATAAAAAAGTATAAATGCACAACTATGTGCAAGGCTTGGCCGTGGGTCATGCCGATCACTCAACACAGAAGTATAAATCAGCCTTTAGCAGTGTGGATTTTCCCTCCCTCGATACTGGCACATATTATCATATTGTATTAACATTTATGATTATGTCCATAAGTGAGTATTTGCAAAGAAACGGGGATTAAAAGATTTGTTCTAACTCTCTGTGATCTAACTGCACCTCAAGAAGCAGTAAATGGTACACTTAGTATTTTAATAGCATTTTGAACTATACTTTTTAAGCTAAGTAATCTATAAAAACCATAGCTGAAAAGTTTACACAACTATAAATGAGGATGCTTCAATCACACGACAGGAGCCCTGGTTTGTGGATGTTAAATCAAGTTTATTTTGCACTATAATGGATCTCTATACAGTAGCATATTTACCCATTTGATGAGCATCTTTTCACTTTTGCCGCAAGTAGATGCAAAACTAAAACAGCACATTGTGTTAAATAAATATAACACATTTGTGTGGCTCATTTATCTTGATGTAGACTGTGGGTCTCTTTAATCATGTCTAAGGATAAACTCTGTTTGTTCTTTTCTAAAGCAAAAACCAAAAGTTTGTGAGGGGAGCCTACCTATTTTTATTTAAAGGCCATACATTTACCCCTTTTTAAGATTAAAGATGAGTCTTTTGTGTCTTCAGAATGTGTCTGTAAAGTTTCAGCTCAAAACACCCATCAGATTATTTATTATACCTTTTAGAATTTTGGAATTTTCTGCTCCCAATGATTATTTGATGTATTTGTTGCGAAGTTGCAACAATGAGTCACACGCAGTGTCCTTACAAAGTTTACACATGACACGCATGCACACACACACACACACACACAAATGCGTTTAACTTTGCATGGTTTTTGCATGGCAAATGTGACAGAATACGCGTTAATACACTACTGTATGGATATCCGTTATGTTGATGAACAAAAACATGATTTCACGTCCACAAACCAGGATTAAAACATCTTCTTTTATAATTGTAATGACACGGCTGTGGTGATAAAGAAATTGGTAAAGTCACTGTTATTCTGCCTTCAAAACGTTTTTAACTTGCAAAACTCATTCTTGATCAAATTTGATCATGATTAATGATCACAGCGAGCTCAACAGATTTTCTAATCCCAGTTGCTTTGCGCACGTCCTGTTTTGTTGATATGCTTATACATGTTACTACAAAAATTACAATTTTCAAGAGGGTATAATAAATTATCTGTTGTGTATTTTGGCCTGAAACTTCATAGTTACATTCTGGAGGCACAGACATCTTATTTTACATTTTGTAAAAAACCTAAAATTTGAGCTCTTTAGCTATTTAAAATGTAAATACTTCCTGATCCAAAGTCACTGAAAAACACTAGCTACAACACTGACTAGCATAGCTGCTATACACAGCATTTAAAGACTAGTAGTAAAAGCTCTTCTTATGGAATGAGTCCCACAGTGTTCATCACATGGGATTTTGTCACCTGGTTAAATAAAGAGCATTATATCTCATACTAAATCCTACAGGAACTTCAGCACAGAAACCAAAAATAGGATAAAAAGGGGCACAATTAAGTGGCCTGCCCTCTTATACGCTTAAACATGACAGCTGTAGTACATACAATACAGGTCTTGACAAAGCGCTGCTTTAACCGGGCAAAAAAAAGCAATGATATTGAATTTGCTGTTCCATTATTCATAAAAGGAATATACAGTTTTATACCATATTTTATTCATGGGTTCGCCCTCATGCAATAATGTCTTGTGAAAGAGTCTAAAGGAGCTTAGAGGAGGACAGCAGCTCAGAAAGGCCAACACGGAGAGTTATTAAACACACAGAGCACAGACGATTCTAATACTGCTAACTTACACTGGCATAGGCAGATTCTACTCAAATGTTAACAGAGCCAAACATCAATTTCTCTATTGTAATAATATAATGTTTGTGTGGGGTTACCAGTATACTAGACAAGCAAGTATATAGACATCTCTTGTAATAATGTAAGCAATCTTCTAGAGTGTCATAAAACAAGGTTAACAGGTAATATATTTGGAGTTTGGACGCTCAGTCAAAAGAAAATGTATGTTTTGAAAGGAAATGTTCTTGACAGAATGAGAGGACACTTGGCAACATGCACTACGCAGAAAGCATCTCAATTCCTTTCAATGCATTCCGACACACACTGATTGGAGCATGAAGAAAAACACAGCCACTGATTTGAACAACACAGCCTAAAGATGATTGTGGAAAAGCATTTTTTTTTTATTCATATATTATTTTTTATTCACTATATGCTGTTTGGTTTTGTTCAGAGCCCTGCTTATGATGTGAAAAATATGCAAAGATTATTCTGTATATCTCGTTTTAGTTAAATGGCTGCATTGAATTAAAAATGCATCTTAATTTAATTTAAAAATAGCTTAATTTTTTCTTTGTTTTAGTAAATAATTGTCATGTTGAACATATTGCTTTCACAAAAAATAAATGATTTTTAAAATTTTTCATTTTTATGTCTTATACATTTTAGTAAAAACAAAGGAATTCATTAGTAAAACACCCTATATTATATTATATTATATTATATTATATTATATTATATTATATTATAGAAAATTATCTTTGAATTAACATTCTTTAAATTAACATACAAAGATTAATAAATGATATAAAAACATTGCTCATTGTTAATTATATAATGTTACATTATTATATTATATATAAAGCATATGCTGTGGCGACCTCTAAAATAGAGTCTAACCTTAGAAAAATTAATGAATAAGTTATTATATTATTCATTCATTTATTCATTTTCTTTTCGGCTTAGTCCCTTTATTAATCTGGGGTTGCCACAGCGGAATGAACTGCCAACTTATCCAGCACATGTTTTTATGCAGCAGATGCCCTTTCAGCTGCAACCCATCTCTTGGAAACACCCATACACACTCATTCCCTTTCATACACTATGGACAATTTAGCCTACCCAGTTAATATTATATTATGTAATATTATATAAATCATATGCTGGAATTGTTGGTGGTTCATTACACTGTGATGACCTTTGAAATAGAGACTAAGAGGATAATGAATGAATGATTATATTATATTGTATTATATTATATATAAAACATATGTTAGAATAGTTGGCGGTTCATTCCACTGTGGCAACCTCTATACTAGAGACTAAGCCCAAGGAAAATGAATGAATATATTATATTATATTATATTATATTATATTATATTATATTATATTATATTATATTATATTATATTATATTATATTAGTCAAACCTGGGCTCTCTCAGAAAGGCAAAGGATCGCAGGAGTTATCAAAATACGTAGATTTATTGATAAACACTTACATGGAAGAACATAGGAAACACAGGCGACTCAGGAACGACCAGGGGTGACGACAATGCATAATCAAGATTAACGGACAATGACTGAACAACACACAGGACTATAAATACACATGACTTGATGAAACTGATAACACACGGGAGGAACACAGGTGAAACTTATGAACTTAATGAGATGGGGGTAAAACAGAACAAAGGAGCACATGGAGAAGGTCCTATGACAAAAACACA